GTGATTGATGTGATACAGCTTGTTCTCATAAGTCTGATGCACACCGAGTGCTCTGTGCTCGGCTGTGTGTCTTCATTTCTGCATCAAAGTGTGTGTGTGTTTGCACAGGGACTCTTTGAGAGTAGGTAGTCAAATAACTATTGATCTCCTGGTGTATCCAAGAACCTCCTTGCACAAGATCTTGCGCTTGCATTTACATGACACACACACACACACATTAATTTCCTCTTCGATCTCAGATGTGAAATAGTTGCCTTGCTCTTTCACTCGCTCTGAACTCTGTTATCATGTGAGCACATGTTGCACAAGGGATGGTGTTTTCCTGAAAAACAGAGAGGTTTTCCCCTCTTATGTGGCTGGTTGGTATTTTGATGACTTGCCATACACCACAGTAGGAGGAGAGGCTCAGCAGGGTGTCACTGGAACATTACAATTTAGGTGTCAAGATTCACTATCCTTTGCACCATCTGCCAGCCGACTACTGCGGCTGGATTGTCGGCACACAATGTGCTGATTTTTTCACTGTAATATGTCTACGTTCTTTTCAAAATATGCTTTGACCTGGCACATCTAATTACACATGTTTTTTTTATTACGGTCTAGAAGACAGAGTGAAGATTAATGTTTGATTCCTATCAGCATCTGTCACCTACAACAGCTGATAAACGCTCAGTCGGCTAAAAGCAGTAGGTATGAATACCTTCTGTAGTCTGTAATTTTTATGATGTGTTTTGTCAAGCTGTGATTACGCATACCAGATCTGCTGCAAACGTCTCCCCTCCTGAACACATAAGCTAGTTTAGATTCATTAGTCCACATGTGTCTCAGTTAATGCAGTGCAAGTCATTGCACGTTGGAGACAGTAATGTCTTTAGGTAATCCTGGATACATTTTCATTGAACTTAATAACACAATTTCCAAATCTCTTTATTCTGGTGACTTGCCCGTAAGACATCCTAAAATAACGTACAACAAAAGAATCTTTTGAAATATCAGTCTTTCCATTCATACCAGCTACACCACATCCCCACAGCATCAAAAATACATAACGTACTTGCCCACAGTAATGCATGCATATACCGTCCTCTGCTTTATTCTTATTCAGTTGCTCTTTCTCTCCACTCCAGTTTCACCTCTGAACGTAAGTCAGGAACAGGGGAACAAAAGATAAAGTATGGTGGAAACAGAAGCTTGGAGTCAGATATCATGTCATCTCTGACCTTGAAGACAGAAAGGGGAGCAAGACAGATGGCGACGAGGGACAGGCACAGCGGCCTGTAAAGTACAAACTGTATGTAGTTGCTAAACAGGCAAAATTTAGGGGCACCCAGGGGCATGCTTTAAATCACTAGTAGCTGTGACAGCATTGAGGGGAAAGAGGGTAAAAAAAAAAGAGTCAGCGGGAGAGGAAATGGGGATGTGGATGTGTGAGGAGGGAGGTCTATAACTGGAGCCAGACAGCTGGGAGTGTGTTTCTCTGTGTATCTCGGCCTATGTCTTTATCTCTCCTTCTGTTTGTCGGTAGGAAACTTTGAAGCATTGTAACTTCTGTTTCTTGAAATATTGTTCTATTATTTGTTCTATTATTTAACTCTTCAAAAGATCATCATGCAGTATGTGGTCTGCAGCATGAGCATGGTTTTTGTAGTTCTGCACGGTTGTCACAAAAGCCTGTTGTAGGTGAGCAGTGAAAACAGAACAGACTGTCTGACCGTGAGCTCAGACGTGCGAGCCCTCTCACTCTGTATCCTCGTTGCGTGTGGCTGCAAGGTCACAGGGCTAGACAGCGAGCTTCACAGTCACACACAAACCCACCACCTCACACACACACACACACACACACACACACACAGTCACTCACAAACACAAACACATTAACTGATCATGCCGTCAGAGAGGGGATTAGGCTGAGAAGCCGACGGGGTTAGGAGGGTTACGGTAAAGTCTGTGTGTGTTTGTTTGTCTGTCTGTGTGTGTGTGTGTGTGTGTGTGTGTGTGTGTGTAGGGAGTAGCACATTCTGTCATGGCACGCAAAATTAGAATTAAAACTGATTTCCACTTTACTTTCTCAAGAGCAAGCCAGCAGCTGTGCATGAAAAAAGAGGTTGTTTCTAAAACATGGCTTCACACATGAATAAGCAACAAATTAAATCTAGATTAGTCATGAAGGATAGTCTATGTCATGATTTGGTTTTGTATTTGAGTTTCCCTGTTTTATCCCAGTGTTGCTTGTTTCCCTTGTATTAATGTTCCCTAGTGTTGCTGGTTTTTCCCTTGTGTGTTTCCTGGTTTTGTCTTCAGTGTTTTCTGTCTTGTTTTGTCATTTATTATTCTTGAGTTCTGTGTGTCTTTAGTGTTTCATGATTTAGTTTGTAGTTGTCCTCAGTGTTTCTTGTATTCCTGCCTCTGTGTGTTTGCCCTGATTGTCTTCACCTGTGTCGTTAGTCTCACCTGTGTCTGATTACCCCATGTCTATTTAGTCTCTGTGTTTCTTCCCTTGTGGGTCAGTTCATTCTGTCAATGCTTGAGAAAAACTAAGAGGAGGACCCAGATGCAGATCTAACAAAAAAAAATGTTTATTTAAACAAAAAGGCCAAAGGCAAACACACAACTTACTACAGTAGAAAACTAGCCATGAGGAAACCACAAGTAACACTAGAGCATGAGGAAAACAGACATCTACTGACACTGATAACTTACATACAAAAAAAACATACAATGAACTGACACAGAAGGGAAGAAACACAGACTAAATAGACATGGGGTAATCAGACACAGGTGAGACTAACAAGACACAGGTGAGGACAATCGGGGCAAACACACAGAGGCAGGAATACAAGAAACACTGAGGACAACTACAACCTAAATCATGAAACACTAAAGACACGCTGAACTCAAGAATCTAACAAAACACACTAGAACACAGAGATACACGAGGATAATAAATGACAAAACAGAAAACACTGAAGACAAAACTAGGAAACCCACAAGGGAAAAACCAGCAACACTAAGGAACATTAATACAAGGGAAACAAGCAACACTGGGATAAAACAGAAAAACTGAAATACAAAACCAAATCATGACAGTCTAAAATGATTACCAATAATGTTGTACAAGCCAAAAGAGTCTACAGAATAACATAGACGTTATTCAATTACTTTCCAGTGACACCTGAAGTTATAAAACAATACTCTGGGAGAAAATATTTACCTTTGCCTGACTGTGATATGTGGCTGCAATGAATCTGAATTGCATTTTTGTCATTTTTAAAAGCGTATGACTCAATTTAAAATGTGTAATTTACCGACTCAAGAAACGCTGAAAATCAAGTGACCGCGCTGTGAACTTTGTGTCTCCAGGGAGCAGAAGAGACAGAGAGAGGCGCAGCTGTGCCAACTGACAGACTCTGAGAACGAGCACAGAGGAAAACTGTTCAGGTATGCTAACCTCTGCTCTTTGCTTTTCTATCCACTTATTGTATTTTCTCTACATAAATAATCGTTCATATTCTCTCTTCTCCAACTTTCCCACAATCTCTTTAGTCATCCCACTCATTCTCCTCCAAATCAGGCTCTTCCTGTGCTGCGTTTCTCTTCTCTTCTCCAACTCCTTAGAGAGAGAGAGAGAGAGAGAGAGTTAATAGAGAGAGAGAGAGAGAGAGAGAGAGGGAGGGAGGGGTGGGGGTTTTAGTGTCATCTGAGATTCGCTCTTGATTCAGTTGAGGGGATCTTAGGCTCCATAAAGTGCCAGTGACACAGCAGAGTCTCATGTGAGGCTGGTGCAACAGATGGAAGCACTCTTTAGTTGGCGTGGACTCTTGTTCCTCACACACACACACATTTACTCATCTGTGCACAAAGGCATGCAGATATTGTAGATATGCAGAGGCGTAGTGGTGCCCCTATTGGGATGCATTACTCTAATATGCAGGCAGACACATGTGTGTGAACACACCCCAACCACAGACAGACGTACACACACAGAGCCTCTCATCTTTCCATGCAGGCGTTAGATGTACTTGGGTTGTGTATTTTTTTCACATAGAAGCTGCTGGTATTCTTTTTATAAGCCACTGGCAGCCTGGTGTGTTCAATTACACTGTCGATTTATTTCCCTTCCCACACAGCAGTCTCTGATCTCACCCTCTGGCTCCTATACAGTTCAACATATGATAGCACTCCACTGAGGAGGTGGAGGCTATTCCAGAAGGGATGAGAGGTTTGTGGGAGGGAGCCGCCCCCCCACCCCCCCATTGCTGAAAGAAAATGTAATGGGAGACAACAATTCACCAAACGGCCAAAAGTTGGAGACCATATGGCCTAAAGCCGATATTTATTTGCTGTAGAAGTTTTGGTTTCTGTATAGGAATCAATCGGAAGACCGTACCTCATAGTTGCTGAATTTGAAAGAAAACATGTTGGGCCCCATTAAATATTTTTTATTGTCTCCCAGTGTGGATGAAAAAGGTATATTCTGAGTACTATACAAAAGTTACTACAACATTACATATTTGTCACTCGATGGGTGTTGAATTTAGGATTGTCCCACTTTTGCAGTGTTTGTGTGCAAGGATCTTGACTTTAAGGATGAAGAGGGGGGGAATAACCAGCTTTGCTTTTATGTAACTGACTTGCTCTAACTGTACACTCACTCTATGACCTGTCACTCAGTGTAGATTTACTGTGTGCCTGCAGGTGTATTCATTTGAGGGATTGTTTAAAAGCATGTGTACACATGCCCTGGAATATAACCGTATGGACAATAACTGAGTGTGTGTTTAATCACATGCTCATCTTCTGCATATTTTCAACAGGTTAAAAGGGGAGTTGGAAGAAGAAAAGGAGAGTTTGTTGTCATGCCAGCACAGGTGCAACACCTTACAAGAGCAGTTGACGTCACTGCACCGGAGAGAGGAACAAACGAACAGGAAGTGCCGCACAGCTGAAGAGGAAGTGACCCGAGCGGGGAAAGCTCTGGAGAAGGCTCAGCAGGAAATGCGAGAACTAAGGAGAGAAAGGTCATGATTGTTTTATCTGTAATGCTCTGATTACATTTACTTACCTAACCTTATACATATAATGGATCGGATTCTGATTCTGTACTTGTAACATGCCAAAAACACATGACTGATTTATATTTTAGCACATGGTACACAAAATGATCAACTTCAAAGGCCCTGAAAACAGCTTTTTTTCATTTGCGTAAGAGTCACACAGGTAAATACCGCCTAACAGTTTGGTTATTTTAAATTTAAGAGATTATTATTTTTCTTTTGTTACTTTTGTGTTTTTAGTCAGGCCGCTTTGGTTCATATTTGAGAAGAAAGGGGTCACACCAGAGAAAAGCACCACATTTTTTCCAAATACTCTTCAGCACCATAAGTTTCCATTTTTGATGGGAGCCACATATCTTCCAAGAATGTGGCTCCCACTAAGAAGGTCAATCTTGGGGTAGAAATATACATTTTGTAGATCAAGGAATGCATTAAAGTTATTGGGAATATAACAAGATGAGAGAATATCGCCAATATTGGGCTGGATTCTCCCCCTCCGACAATCCTAAACAAAGTCCCTATTTTTTGAATGGTTCTAAGGATTATCATGAAAGATTTTCCTGTGAGCTGAGGTATATTAAGAGTGATCTGATCTGATTGGAAGACATTGAGGGTTCCACAATTTCAAATCATACAGATTAAACATGTTCAATATCTACAATCTGATTTTATCTGATGGGGCGTGACCTGAGGGCAGCCCAGCACACACTCCTCGAATTTTCACGTGTAAAGAAACGATAGCCAATTGGGGAACAAGATGACCTTTTCAATTTTAACATCTCCAGCTTGTGCTCTAACATGTACAGCTCATCTTCACATCTATATTCATAGGTGAACTATTTTCTTCAGGAATTTTCAGTTGAAAATAGTCCAAAAGCAATCCTAAATTTCTTCTGCCCATCATGTTTTATTACTGCAAAGTCCCGTTTGAATGTGAGCAGTTTCACAAGATTTCCAGTTTCAAAGAAAGTCAGGCCTCTGGTTGTTGCTGAACAGAATCTGTTTGTGTGTGGTGTGCTGTTATGGTCCCATTGTTGCTCTCCATACACTACAGGAACATAACTGTTTAATATATGATTAATTGTCATCTGATCAAATATGTTAAGAGCTTATAAATCTTTGAGTGTGGAACAGGCATTACACCTCATCCACAGAGTGGTCTTGTACGGAAACAGAGACAGACTGTTTTGTTCTAATGTTAAATATCGACCTCCTTTTTAGTGTCTGAGAGGACATTGGGTGAGTACAGTCAGGAATCCTGTGTTTGTGTTCTTGCCTACGTCTTTCTCAGAGAACACAGTGAGTTGATGTAATAGAGTGTTGGGAGCTGTGCCCAGTCTCTTATGTAAGGTGTAACCTCTCCCTGTGTGGCTGTCACACACTGCCCAGAACACTGCTCAATAACCTTGCTTTTACCGGTGTTTATCCATGTCAATAATCCATCTAGTTTCTTTTCTTTTTCACTAAATGTCCCTGATTCCAGATAAAGCTGGAGAGCTGTACACTCAAGGATGTAGTTTAGATAGGATTACTTTAAGGCTTCTTGAAAACAACCTTAATTCCTTCAACTTGCACATCTTAAAAACCACACGGAAAATCATTTTGGGCAATTTCATTGTGAGCATGTCAGAGGCTTTAGACGCCCATTCAAGCTTTTTTTTTTCAGCTTTTATTTAACCAGGAGAGAAACTCGAGGAGATTAAAAATCACTTTTTCAGCAGCAGCACATCAAAGTTTCCAACAGACAATGAGCAGCCATTCATACATACAAATGTAATGTAAGGTACTTTAATACATTACAAGATATTAAATAACAGGACAAAATAAGATAGAATAAAAAGATTGTATTCTCCTTTACTATTGTGTTGGGATCAGAAGGTACGAAGAAAATTGTCTTAATATGTAAATACGTAAATATGAACACATGATAGTTTCAGTCTATGTGGAGATAAAGAAGACCATCCAACACGTTCATTCAACAAACAATGATGAGTGAGGGGTTGAAAATGAGTGAGGAACCTCAAAGCTCAATGATACACAGAGTACACAGCATGTGAGATTTGAGACAAGGCGTGCATGTACAAAAACATCCCCATAGTCTGGTACACAAACGTCTTGTCGTAAAGCTTAAATGTAAAAATCATTTCTGTGAAACAGGCAGCAGGCCATGCTAAATAAGTTAGAGTTGAGTTAAATCACAATAAACATGAAATATCAGCTCTGTCAACATTTAAAAGCTTCTTTTTTTATATGGTTCATATAGTAAATTAGTTTGTTTTTTTTTGTTTTTTTTTGTTTTTTTTTATTATATTCATTCTCCCTTAAAGGTACATCTAAGTTTTGAAATCTCAACTAATGAAACTAAGTAAGGATAAATAAATAGATGGCGTAGAGAATTAAAATGTATAAAAAATATACAAACGCATCAAATCCTCTTTGAAAGCAGGATCTGAAAGATCAAGTTTGTATTCAAGTTTTGGTTCTGTGTCAGCATATAGCTTTTATGATACACACATTTCCACATGTAAGAAAATCAGCCATACACTCAGCTCTTCTGTGCCTGATCAAAATTTAAATGACCTGTGCCTGAAATGATTCTCCATCATTTCTGAGGTTGTTTGTTGTCTGAGCTGGGGGGACATGGTGTTACAGTGCTGTCCTGTTAGCCTATAAAATATGAATATGCATAAAATATTTTAAAAACTGTCTTGTATTTACCTTACCTGTGCTACAATCAGGGTCCAAAATAAGCACCCACCACCTGCCAAGTGCGGATAAAAATCTGTTTTTGGCAACTATAATAAATGAGGTCAGGCACTTTTGCCGTGTGTCCAAATCAGTACAGAACATACTGTCAGTTGTTGATCACATACTGTTTTGCAAAAACTGAACAATGCTGGCCGGTGACGGTCAATATTTGTGTTGCCCTACTCTGATTGACCCTCGCTGTCCAACATCTGTTTGGTCACGCCTCCTTTATTTAGCAAGTTCAGTTCATCAAACGACCCATATAGTGGGAATCTGTGTTTGCGCTGGTTGCAGCGCTGCAACTGACTTGATGCAGGGTAAAAACAGAGGAGTTTTAGACCCTGACTACAGTACAGTAGAAGGAGTATTTCCTATGCCTATCTTTCATGCAAGGACAAGGAGGTGAAGGAGTTGACCTCAGTGTGAAGAGCAGAAGAAAATGTGATAATTCCTCTCTCCTGGAAATGACTTCACTGCAGCAAAAAGCATGATTCCACTTGAAAAACACCCTGAACCTCTGACACTGGACAATAAAACAGCAGTCCTCTCCAATACAATAGTCTTGCAAAATATTTTAGGATACTTTGTTCAGCTAATGGAATCAACAGTGGCCCATGTTCTAAGCAAAAAGGTCTGTTCACCAAGAATTCATGCTTGCTGTAAATCCCAGGAGCATTAGTCTCCACAGGTGACTGACTCATTACTTCAGCAGATCAAGACAGGGGACTCATCTTACTCACTCCATATTGTACAAAAAAACATTTAAAAAAAATACAAGCTTGTCTCTCAAAGACTTGAACTTTTCGCCATTCAAAAAAATCTATATATTTTCCAAATTCCTCTCCAAAAAACCTTTGCCAAAGAAACCATCACTACAAGAAGAATCAGAAATCCACCTGAGGGAAAAGCTGCGCAAAGTGCTGCTAATTTATCTGATTTTAATGGATTTATCCTTCACATTCAAGTGTTATCACTAATTATCTTCCTCTTCATCTTATCAAGCTGCCTATATCAATCTCGTCTGACTCCACGTTCTCTCATTCTATCCCTTCATGTCCTTCTGCCTCACTCACACACTCTGAAACACACCTCCCACCATCTGCCCTGTCACTGCATTTTGTCCTTTAAATAGTTACAGCTCTGCTGCATGATCTAACCAAGAACAAGCGTCATTCTTTCACCTCCAGGACCCTTTTATGCGATGCCATTATGTCTGTGGTAAATTATTTTGGGGTTAGAATAGATTTCATACAGAGGATGTATGAGTCATGTATTGAGCTATTTGCAAGCTTTATGTCCATTAGGGCACTGTGGAAAAAGAAACTACGGCTTTATGCTCTCATGTAATTTAAAATCTAAAAGGATATGAGTTAATATAGTATTTTAAAGCAAGAGTAATACAAACTTTGTGTAAGAAAAAACAAAAGTTTATTTTTTTGATGAGTATTGGTTCAGGAATTGGAAAAATATGTCCTACATCATAGATGATAGAAAATGATGTGCATCTGAATAATATTAAATGCAAAGCCAACTTCTATTAAAGCCAAATTACTGCTGCTGTAAAAGGTCACTCACTTGCCATATCAAGGATTATTTCCTCTTGGTTTTATTGCACCTGCAGTCCTGAAGCTAGTAATCTGAAACACTGTTGATATTGATGAAAACCAGTTGTGAAATGAAAGTGAAAAGACAAGCAGAGTAACAAGCAGACAGCCGTTTCCCCAGGCCAGGGTAGGCAAGAGGGTTGATGGGATTGTGGGAGTGAAGAAAGTGAGGGAAAGATATGTGAGAAGAGAGAGAGATGGATTAAAGAACAGATGGGGGAGGAAAGAGACAGGGGGGGAGGACAGGATACAGGAAGGAAGACAGGTTGAGGTGGGACTGAGAGAGAGGGTGGGAGGCAGGGTTCAAGGGGTTGTTGAAGGGTGGAGGGATGGAGAACGTGACTGTGGCTGTAACTTCACACACTGTCTGACTCTTGCATGCACACAGCCTGGGTCACGGGGGCTACACACCATCTATACACACACACACACACACACACAAGACATGACAGCTTACTGCGCATTCGGTATAACTGACACATAGTTAGAAACAGAGCGACAGCGCAGGGGAGGGGAAGAGAGGAGGGAGTGGAGGAAAAAGCATTGAAAGTGGCAGAAAGTGGAGTGAGTAAAAGATTTAAAAGTCAAGAGAGGTCAAGAGTATCTGTGCGGTTCCTCATCCATCTGTTAAATGTGGGAGGACTTGTTTCAAGTGGTTTCAAGCAGCAGAAAAATGTTTTCGTGACAGAAATTATGATCCCCAAAACTCCCTTCTGTCTGTCCCTATGCAGGGAAGTGGTTTAATGCCTCGGGCTTTGCACAATTAGGCTAATAAAGGACTTCAGAAGATTAATGTCAACAGCACAGCTTTAGCATACTTCCTCCAGCCATGTTTACTGCTCTCCATGCAGCTTGTTTTCCACTCTTCAGTTTATTTTTATTTTTATTTAATTATTTTTATTTTTTTCTCATTGAGTCCCACGTTGGAAAGTATTAAATCATCATTTTCAAGATCTTTGCTTTTATTAGGGTCTCTGTTCTTTTTATTCAGTTGTCATACATTTCTGTAAATTCATACATCCAATTTTTACAAGGCAGCCTTTTCCTGTTTTGGAAGCTGGGTTTGGTGTAGGAAGACTTTAAACTCTAAATCATATTTGCAGGCATCTAAAATGACCCTTAAGCATCGCTTGGAGAATGGGATATTGTTTTTGAGTTGAGTCAGCCGCCATTGTTTGCGTGTGCACGCAAAGATTATATCAGCATAACGTGGAAAAATAGAATATGCCTTTTGATGAGGTAGCAGCCGCTCACACACACACACACACACACACACACACACACACACACACACACACAAACCACCTTGCACACATGCACACTCGCCTGTCCTTAAAAGCAGCTTGGCGTGTCAGTGAATGAGAGAGTGCTCCCAGATTTTCCCATCATTCCTCCCTGTAATCCCCCAAGACCTCCTTCTGAGGCCTGAATTTGCACGCTCACGCTCCCCGGGGGGGGGGTCACACACACACACACGTTCAGACACATACGTCACAACACGCACGCACACATGTGCACATACCAGCTCCAAATTGATTTAAAAACTTCTGGTACACTACCTTTGCAGGGGTGTACTTGTTTTGATAATCAGAGAGTCAAAATTGCATTCGACAGTGGGATGAAAATACGCAAGCACTCAAACACTCTCATACACACACACACACACACACACACACACACACACACACACACACACACACACACACACACACACACACACTTTGCATGCATCAGCAGTTTGTAACATATTAAAAAGGCTTCATAAAGCTGTCAAATCCTCACTTCCAGGGTAAGGGTTTCCCAGTTAAAATATTACTGAATTACTGGTGTGTATTTTCAAAATGCACTTTTAACTTTACCAGCATTTTGTGAGCTTGATTTCTCCTCTCTGAGTCTGAATCTCATCTTTTATAAGGCTGGGACATTTTTAAATGAGCGTTACGAGTCAGATTTTTGCATCAAACTCTTGGAGTTAGTTCATGTATGGCTGTCTGTCTGCATCTATTTTAGTGCTTCTGTGTGTGTGTGTGTTTTATGTGTGTGTGTGTGTGTTTTATGTGTGTGTGTGTGTTATGTGTTTGTGCGTCTGTGGTGAGTAAGCTGATGTGATTAGCCAGAGCCAGTGGAGTGAACAATATTGTGTCTGCCCTGACGAGGAAGAGATGTAATGTAGCTGCTCCATTTTTTTATACTGTAGATCATCTGCTCCAAACTGTGCGCACACACACACACACACACACACACACACACACACACAGCAGCCACATTTTTTTTTAAATATAGATATAGACTGGCCCACTTCTGCACACGAAGTGCTGTAGATAGCGGCTGAATTTGTCAACACCTGAATATTCCTACTTTTTTACAAATTAATTTTGTTTTCTTAACACATTTTATAGTTTTGTCATTGTTGCTGCGGATAAAATCTTTGAGTGTTTCCTTAAAGCGTCTCTCACACCATCTCTAACTGCATATACATTAGTAATAAGCTATCAGATTCTCAACATGTCTCTGTCTGAATACTAAGATGTATGCTCCTACTTCCAAGCTGGACCAGATGCTGAAATGAAATATTATATCAGGAAAAAAAATCAAATAATCCATTGAAGTCCAACCCTATCTAGCTATCTCAACTCAATCTTACCCTTCCTTTTTTCCTTTCCTTCCTTATCCTCCCCTCTCCTCCCCTCTCCTTCCTTTGACACATTTCCTCTTGGTTTCTTTTTGGTATATATTCTTTCTGTAACCTGACATGCTGAGAGGATCATCAAAAAAAGAAGCATATATAAATTGGATCAGTGCCTTTTGGATCCCGGCAGATATGGATGTGATGTTGGCTTACTTAACTTACTTATCTATCCAACTGCAGAAAGTGCTGCACTGTAAAAGTAGTTAATGCTATCTCATGTGCACAAGCATGTGTGTGTGTGTGTGTGTGTGTGTGTGTGTGTGTGTGTGTGTGTGTGTGTGTGTGTGTGTGTGTGGGTGCACGCATGTGTGTGTCTGTGTGTGTGTGTGTGTGTATGTGTGTGTGTAATAGAGAGAGAGAGAGAGAGACAGCGAGATAAAGAGCACTTAACACTTAATTCACTCATTGCCTGTTACAGCTAAAATCTCATGTCTGTCTGTGTCACTGTGTGTTATGGTAATGAGAATTAATGCACACATTGATGTGATTTAAAAAAAATATTATATTGGATCTCTTCATGTGCATCCATTGCACATAGGGTTTTTAGTAAACCTCCAGAGCCTAAAGCGGTCACTGACTGTGAATATGTTATCTGGTCTCATATGGGAGTCTTCAGGCTTTTACAGCACAGCGATAATGCTTTTAGAAACAGATGGAGATGAGTTATTTAGTCCTAGGGCAGTTGCTATTTGAACATGAAATCAGATGTTTCTGTTCAGATGACCTGATGCTGCATTTATCTTCTCATTACACTTGACAGATGCTTAATGTTGTGAGGTATTTAGATTAAGTCTTGGTTTTAAATGTGCAGTAGTCCAGAGGAAATTCAACATTATGCGTACAGTTCTATCATTAGAAAACAAGACATCTGATTGACTGAATGCTTCAGCCTGTTTGCGTGTTACCCTAATTAACATAGTCTCTGTTTTCCTTGTTCATGTCTGTGTTAACAGGCACATTTTGATACAGTCCCATGAAAAGGAACTGAAACAGATGGAGGAATACTACAGAGAGGAAACAGCTCTCAAGGTATTTCTTCACCAACACAACAACCCTGTTGCTACTGATCAGACATTATCTGCACCAATCAAACAAAAGGACAAAGATGACCTCATATGAACCTAAGTCTATTTCAAGCATGTTTGCCAAAATGCCCCATTATGTTCCTTTAAAGCTGTCCAAATAAATCAGCATATTAGCTAATGTTGAATTAGTCCAGCATTACAGGGACATTACTGTGTCTTTGAATTATCTAGAAAATTATAAATATGATATTAAGTAAACACTCGGTATCAGCAGATAGTCTTTAATAATGGTATTTGGTACAAAAGCTGATTTAGATGTTTTACCAGAGTAATCTAAATGTCTTTTGTGCAACATGATAGTGGTTATTTGGTCTATACATAACAAATCAAAACATTCCCTATGATCTTAAGTGACTGTGATGTATCATTTTACGACTAGCAGGCATTTAGATTCAGTCTGTTGAATTAAATGAAGGGTTAGGATGGCATCCAGGCCATTGTCACAGTTCAGAGTAGTTTAATAGGGAGGATCCTGACGCACATGATGTGGTGAAGATTATAAGGCTTTGAGACCACCGGTCTGTTGACACCAGATAAACTGAATCCACACACACAGAGGCACAAACCAAACTGTCTTTTATTAGTCAGACAGTGTAGCAATGTGTCTCTTACACCGTCTGACTGTCTGGCGGCAAGAGTCACTGAGGTTTAGTCAAACATCACAACAAAGAGGAGCTTTTACCAGAAAAGAAAGAAAGAACTCATTGTATCAAATATAGTTGAATCGTAATTTTCACAAGTTAAACTTTTTTCCAAATGAATTTAAGTGTATGAAAAAGTATCTTTGCTTTGCTTTAGGATTATTTCTTGTTTTACATTTTAAGAGACAAACATTATTTTTAAGGTGGAGGTCTCTTTCTTCAGTTGTCAGGTTGTAATTATTAATTTATTCGTTAAAATAATTAAACAGAGTCTCTTTAACTAAATATTTGTAAATGAAGTAAAATCCTAGACTAGACTAGAGAACTTTGGATTTCTCATGTAAAACTAATTAAATTATACTCACAACATTCTTTGTAACATAAAGATTACATTATTGGATTATATATTAAAAATGATGCCTTTTCCATTTTCATGGTTTGACTCAGAAGAACAAAAAGATCCATCCGATGCAAAAATCTTAAAAATCATTCAAAAAGTTCTTATTGGGTATCTTTAACTTTATGGTTTCTTGATCTTATCCACTGACTTAACCCCACAAATGGGAAACTCACTGTGTCATCAGATTTCTGATCAAAGTGATTGAAAAGAAACAGATTTATTTGTCTTTTTTTTTTAAGTACCCTACTCTTAATCCCCTTAAGAACCAAAACATACTCTAGATATAAACGGTCACATTCAGTATATGCCAAATAATTAATGAGGCTATATTGCACATGTATGCACGAGGATGGCTCACACACATACAGAAGTCATTTTAGCTTATTGTGCATAATGGGCTTCCTGACCTCACATGGGCTTTTACATAGGGAAAGGAAGTGGTCTTTTTAAATACAAACAACAGCTGTGTATCCACACACACACACACACACACACACACACACACACACACTCACACAGAAAAGGATATACACACGGTCACCATCCTTGCTCCTCACACGTACATTCACCAAGCAAAAAGGAAGTGGTGTTTTCTTATTTGATCCAACACACGCAATCTTAGTCTTTCATACAGTCTCGCAAACCACAAGCATAACACACACGCACACACAGGCTCCATCACACACATTTTCACACGCCAGTCCCTCTTTTTTTTCTGACGCCCTCATCCAACTGTTTCTCTTTTTTCACTCGCAAGCATAAATGCACACAACCGCACACTCGGATAAACACAATCAGAGCCACTATGAACAGAGCCCAGGACACTGACGCTGACTTTGTCTGATCTCCAAGAAAGCAAGGTACACTCGACCAAGACTGACTAAAAAGTAATTACATGTCACTTTGCCCCTACAGTTACAGCAATTCAAATTTGGACAGTCACAGTTTGTTGACAAAGTCGGTCAGGCTGCTGTCGTTGTCACGCACCGTAACAAAGCTTTTCATTACCAAAGTCCCTGTCGTATATCATGAAAGGGTTAAGACATTGTTTCTATTTAGAGCCTTCACCAGAAATTATATATTTGAAGCAGCCTGGAACAAAAACACGTTTATCAAAAGTGTCGTTTAGAGGTTTGAGACTGTGGGTAGGACGTCATTTCTGAGAAGTGTGTTTACAGAAGCAGGGTTAAAGTGCAATATCAGATCTTTTCATAAACCTTCCCATACTAAAAACTATCATTGGAATTATTAACAGTTTAGCCGGAGTGTTTTGTGTCCAACAGTTTGATAGACCACTGATGTCTCCTTGTGCATGCCTCTGTGCTACTTATTAAACTTGGTAACACAGCTTTGTGTGGCCTTCATCCTTCCTGTTTATATCATGAAAAATCAACACTTCATGCGAGACTCTGAGACAGGACTTAGGATGTGGGCTAGACTGAAATAGCTTTCAGTTTTCATCACGCACTTCACCATATCACAATAATGTTTCGTTTTAAGATTAAACTGTTTTTTTTTAAAGCTCATATTCTCTGTTTTAAATGTTGAATGTCCCATGTTGAAAAGGATTGTCATTATTATGTGTGAGAATGAAGACATAATCTTAAAGAGGACATATTATACTCCTTTTCCACCTTTTCAAAAAGTCCCCTGCGGTCCATGGGTGGAGATATCAGGTCAAGGGAGGGTTTTACCAGAATCCAACTTGTGACATCACAAGTTGAGCAAATTCGAAACTGAGCATTTTTATCTGTGTTATAAGACTTACGCAGACCACAAACAAAGGACTACGGTTGCAATAGGGTGGAAAGTTTAAGCTGTGGAGTTTTGGAAATATTCCATTTGATTCCATTACCATACATCAATTTTAAAAAAATATATTACCCCATATAATCATCAAAACTTACTTCACTTTATGAAGTCCACGGGCTAAAATGTGTGGCTTCAATAGTCTTGTGCTCTGGGCTCAAAAGTGTAGTCCAGGGTTCTAGAAATCATCTGTGCATGTGGTGGAGAAATGCACAGTGCATGTAGGGGGCGATGCATCAATAGCCCTGCAGTAAGCAGTGTGCTATGTGCATGTGATTGAGGAATAGCATCAATATTCAAGTGTACTTGCATGAAATCTGGTTGTTTTAGTCAAGATTATGCTAAAATATATTTCCCCAACTATATTTAAGTTCCCTGTTAAGGACCAACCTTCAATGTTGTAAATTCCCGGTGTATTCCTGTTTATTCCCATCAATTCTTGTTACCGGTAATTCCCATGGAAAGTTTCCAACTTTGAAAATTCCCAGCATTTTGCAACCCTTCAAAGGACTGCATGGGTTTTTTTCACATTTTGTGGGTCTGTAGACACACAGGTTACCCAAATATATGTTCAAAAACACTGTAAAATACTATGTCCCCTTTAATGTGGTAATGGTATTTGTCTTATATTTTAAAGTTGGCTTCTTCACTGGAGGAGCAGAGAACCCAGAATGCATTGCACCTGAGGGAGCAGGCGGAGGATCTTCGCAGGGAGGTGGAGTTAGAGCTGACAATTGACAGGGAAAAGAACCAACTTCTGCATCTGCAGCTTCAGCAAGACAACACACAGCTTCAGCTGAAGGTGAGTTCCTGGTGATGCAAATTCAAAAAAAGAAAAATAATAAAAACATCAGAAGTTATCACTTCAAAAATACATCAATGTCAAATCTCTACATCCCCTCTTGTCAGCTTTCCTGTCCTACCTCCCCCCCCCCCCCCTCCTCTTTTCACATCTTTTATTCATCATACTTTGTGAAAATATCTGAATAAATTGCAAGATTTGTTGCAGACTGTCCTCTTTGGTAACTTTTTGTTCTTGCCTTCTGTGTCTTCACTGTGTCGGTTGATTTACTTCCCTCCACATTAATAGTCTGTCTGTCTGTTTTCTCTCTATGCCTTCCAGGAGTTTAAGAGCAGGAGTTCCCTCTTTGTTACTGTGCTTAGTGCACTTCTTAACAGTCTGTGGTACTGTTTGCATGTCTGAATATGTGTGATTAATTCCCTTTCATGCCCTCTGCATGGTTTGAATCACCATTATGAACACACACTGTAGAGACTTCTGACAGACATGCAGACAGTGTGGATGACGCTGTGATGAGTCTCTTTGAGGAAGTACAGAAAGAGACTCAGAGATAGAGAGATCTCTGCATCAGCCTATGAGACAACGGAAAACAATAAAACAGAAGGTGAAATAGTTTTCTATTGTAACCTACACCATGCTTGGATCTGCCAACAGCACTAAAACTTACAGATTGAGTAACAACCAAAAGAAGAGAACATTTCAACAGACTGAATACTGATATAACACGTAGTGACAGTAAAGGAATTTCCAAAGTAAAACTGAGAATTTCGATATAATCAGTTCCTAATGTGTCTTGCAATACAAACTCCCGCACTGCACATGTCCTGTACAACACCCAGACAAGGTAGCAAAGTGTGTTGCCCACAACATATGATGCAGAATTAGAAAGTCCTGTTGATTTCCTGCAGTCTTTCCAAAGCATTTGGTACTAAATGGTTGCATTATGTGAGTTCATTCCTTACAGTGGAACTCTATTTAGTATTTATGGTATAACTGAGTATTCATTATTAACCATGCACAGTGTTGCTGACTCTGACTCTTGCTAGCACGCTATTAGCTTAAATGAGCTTGTATAGCTCTTTTCTTATCTTCTGATCACTCAAAGTGCTTTTATACTGTAAGTCACACCCATTCACACACTGATGGTAGATGCTGCTATGTAGAGAGACCATCAGTATGAACTAATCCATTCATTCTTTCATTTATACACATGCATACACTTCAAGCTAAGTGTTAAGTATGGACATGTTTTGCTGCAGGAGCTTTGGATTGAACCCCTGACCCTCAGGTTGAGAGACGACCTATACTCTACCACTGAGCCACAGCCGCTCCTAAACCAAACCAGTCCTTTGAGCTTACTGAACTGGAAACCAGTTACACTGTCAGGCACAACCCACCAAACAGTTAAAACAAAATTAGATTTTAATTAAAAAATCACATAAAAACTTTGGTGGTCTTGATTTTTTTCCATGATACCATGATATGTTGTGTAATGCTACGTGCAAGCCTTCATAATATCCATAATGGACCCAACATCAGGTTTTATCGCTCACCTTTTTACATGAGTAAATATTCCCAATATTTTGTCTGCTTCTTCAGCTGGAAGAGAGAGAGAAAGAGCTGCAGAAACTACAAGATAAGCTGCAGCAGGAGAGGAGGAGAAGAGAGGAGGAGATACACCAGGAGCTTCAGCAAGAGGCATCTCAGCTGAGCCAAGCTAAAGCTGAATTACAGCTGATGACTTGGAAGAATGCTGAACTACAAGAAGAGGTGAGAGTGTGTGCACGTGTGCTGCTAATGTTTCTGCATCTCAAAAGAGAGAAGGGGATGTCAAAAGACAGATTTGCAATTGATTGATCTGTTTTTACTTGTGGGTTTTTCTGCCAACAGTTCTCAAAAAGTAATGTAGTGAGTATGGTCACAGCAAGAAGAGTTTTAATGGAGAGAGAGAGAGAGATAGAGAGAGAGATGGTGGCACACACAGTTCATATTTGCTTTGGCAGCAGAGTGTGCAGTGATGGATTTCTGTGCCAGCACCTTTCAAATGGAGCTGAATTAAAAAGTGACACAAAAATGAAAAGAGGGAGGCAGTGCATAGGGGAGGCAGGAAGGGGTGTACATATGAAGAGCCTGAAGGAAGGAAGGCAACTCTGTATGTGTACGTGTGCTGTGTGTGTGAACAAGTAAATGAAAGAGAGGGAAGGAACCTAATTTAATGAACAAGAACAAATAGAGTACAGGAAGAAGAGTATCCATTCGATGTGTATGTCATGTGTATAAGTCTGTGTTTGGATGTTAACATTGTCTTTAGGAAAGTAGTCGCACATCTCAGCTGTCAAACACACAGTCACATTCATGAACACAAAAAATCCTGCATGAACAAACACCTTTATCTCCATCATGTCCAACTTTCCTTCTTTATTTATGTGCTTTTATTTGGCTTAGATCTGTTTTATAAAGAGGAAACGTATTGTTGTCACTTTGAAACTGTCCAGATATTTTTTTTTAGGCAAGTCTTTCTTCTCTCAATCAGATTTTATGAAGATTTTTTGATGAAGTTGTTATGGACAGGATCATAGTAGGTCTTGTCTTTGTTGTTCAGCGTCCACCATTAGCGATGAAAATCTATCTAACGTCACTCAAAGTAATTTTATGTTTTAACAGGCAAGATAATCACATTTAGCTATAATGATTTCAGACCCTCATCCTCTCTCGTTGGTGTTGTGCTTCTTTCTGTGGATAACAGTCGACCACATGGAACAAATTGTTCCTTTGAATATCATCAGTTTTAACCTTGTTGGAACCATTTGATTTGTAATTTTCAACAAAAAAACAAACCACAAAACTACAAAATATATCATCATATTTGACATTTGTATTAGGACAGTTTCATATTCAGAGCGGTGTTCATTCATTTTTTGTCATAACATAACAGTCTCACACAGTCAACATGGCAAATCTAATGGCAAGTACTTGACTAGTTAGCATTAATGCTAATTACTGTGTTTCCTGTGTCCTATAGAGATTGATATTTTGTTTTGGGGATCTCTGAGGCTTATTTAAACTGTTTGAAAAAGGAAAAAAAGAAAAAATATGTGACCTTTAAACTAAAAACCATTACTAGAGGAGTCAGATGCTTCTTTTGCAGATTTTGAATTTCACCCTGAACAATGGTCGCAGTTGTTGTTCACATGCTGCCCAAAAGTGACGATACTGTCCATGATTCGTTGAAGGCTGTTAACGACCAAACAATGACTTTTAAAGCTGGAGGTTCATTTATCTGTGTGGTTTAGTAATATACAAATCAATCAATATCAGAGAAAACGTATCATTCACGTTGGGTTTACCATCCTTTCTTAGGTCAAACTAGCTGAAGTCAGGTCTCTCTATTGTCACTGTTTCTTCACCTCCTCTCCTCCTGTTCATCTTTGTTGCTGTTGTAGTCAAACAGTCCTCCCTTTCCTCCTCCTCCACAGTCTCATCCCTCACAGAGAGCCTGTTTAGATAGCTTTGACCAGTTCAAGGTGCCCTGATGCCAATTTCACAGCTGACGTGCTCTTTTGTGTCATCCATGGCCCTTTGGCACAGACGCTCTCCCCCCGCCACCAACATTTGTGTCTTTTCTTTCTCATCTTATTTAATAGGCCCTTCTTCTTTCACTGTGTAGTTTAAAAGTGAATTAATCAATATGATCCTTCTAGATGACCTCTGTTTCTTCTTGATCTTTCTTATTGAATTGCTAGCCTTTGACTGTGTTCTTCAATTGTAATGATCTCTCTCAGTTCTTCCATATTCATCAACCATCTATCTTCTATCAGTTTGATCTTTTATCTTCATGAAACTTTTATTGATCTCTGCACGTTTGAGAACTACAAGAAGGGGAGATAATTAGCTTTTGATCATGACCTTGTGATAACGCTCTGTTGCCAAGATACGGTTGTAGTGTGAGTGAGCTTTCACTTTGTCAGTTTTTAAGATATCTCAATGCAACAACACATTTCAGGAGAAACTAGCTTTTTAGTCATTTAGAAAAGGTCATAAGTCGTTTTTTTAATATTGCCTAAACAAAAACAAAACAAGAATCTTTACTAGCTGAAATGTGAAGTGTTTCCCTGTGTATATTAATCTTGTAGTGTGCGGTCTTAACCTAAATATAAGTCCCCTTATTGTCATTATACACAGAATCCAGCTTTGTTAACATTTTGGACAGCACAGGTTTTTTTGTATGTAAGAAATATATAACAATGGCTTTGCAGATTTTTGCAGTATTTGGACAAGAAAAGGGGAAGTATATAAATGAGTATAATCTTGTACAAGCACTGCCTTTCAGTGGTTAACACAGTACATTGATGTAGTTGGTGAAATATTGACACCTCCTAACTTCCTCTTTTAGAGCCCCATTTAGTATCAATCTCTCTCCTCTCTTTCTGATTTGATTTGTTTTTCTCTCTCTGCAACAAAACTCTTTCCCTCACATTCTTTTTTTCTGTGTTAGTTTTCTTTCTGCTCTCTCTCTCTCTCTCTCTCTCTCTCACTCCCTTTCTCTCCTTAACTCCCTCATTCTCCACCCCCCTCTCATCTCCTCCCCTCCCCCTCTGGCTTTGTTAAAGATGGACCTAGACAAGAGGAAAAGGTAATTGTGTCTTGAAAAAAAGAAGCCTGACCTATGACCTTCTGCTAATGACACTTAAGTAACATAGAACACACACACATGCAAGATGAAAAAAAAAAGTGTGTGTGTGTGTGTGTGTGTGTGTGTGTGTGTGTGTGTGTGTGTGTGTGTGTGTGTGTGTGTGTGTGTGTGTGTGTGTGTGTGTGTGTGTGTGTGTGTGTGTGTGTGTGTGTGTGTGTGTGTGTGTGTGTGCTGGGGAGGGGGCTCCGTGTTGCTGGTGGAATGTGGTTTACAGAGTTAGATTAAAAGCAGGGGCCCTGTGGGTCTGCGTGTGACTTCCATCTACTCGCCCTGTAATCCTGCTCTCACTAGGAGCCCCTAATCAAGGCTGTCTGCCTCTACAGCCAGACTGGCATGCACATCATCAACTCACACACACACACACACACACACACACACACACACACACACACACACACACACACAATCATGCCTGCATTTAAACTGGCTAGAAGGAGCCTTATGCATTAAGCCTTAAGTTTGCACACGTTTTACCAGTTCCTTAATGATGAACTGGTAAAATGTGTGCAAACTGTCACACTTTCTCTCACAATAATTGCATAATGGTATTTTAGCATGACACACTGCACATGAAACATGGGTATAGTGGCTTATAATGACTTATTAACACATACACATGTGTTAAGACTTAAGACACATCAGTATTAACTGACTATAACTGTCATCGTCATTATTTGTACTAACTATTCTGCATGACAGCAAACAGGGAAAATCTAAAATGGTCAGGTATACTGAGCTAATTCAGCAGGGTCTCAAACAATCACCTTATTTTACAGGTTTATAGTTTAACTTCATTCGTCTGCCGATTAAAGGTGGACTGAATCAAGGGAATGAATGGGATTTTTTGACAAAACTCTAAAAGAAACTCTGAACAATAGAAACAAACAGCAGTTTTGATCACATTAATGTAAGACTGAATATTTACAAAGTAGACTAGACATTATTTTTTACTTAAATTTACTAAATTTGTCGTTCATAATTAACTTACTAAAGACCCATGGTGCCCAAACCTAGAGCCCAACAGGACTGGAACCATTTTGGCTTGAACTTAAAACATTGGGGTATATTTGGCCATTAGCAGGGGTTATACCAGAACAAACATGGCCATGGCAACGCACCCAAATTCCATGCTGTCATAAAAGGCACATTTTGTAACTCTTGTGTAATGTTCAATCCGCTATACGTTTCACATGATGTCAGTGAAGGCCTAAAGACAGCTACATGCCAGTGTTAGGTTATAGTTTCAGCACCACCTTAAGGCAACAGTAAATTACATTTTTTACACTTTGCTAAGTCCTTTCTTTGAGCAGATCCACTTCATGTACAGTGAGAAAAGTCTCGTAACCTTGATGCTTCGTTTTGAAATTTGTTGAGTTTCTTTCGCAGGACTCGTTTTCGGCAGACCTGCAGGTATCAATGTTACACAAAGAAACCAGAAGTTATTGTTTAGGGGCTGCTGGTGCTTGAAAACTAATGAAGCCAGCATACTGAAATGGTGAACATTTATTGGGTTCAGGCATCAACCTCTGAGGCTTAGAAATAAAAGTAAAAGGTTTTTCATCTCTTAATAGCTAATTTCCCTTTTATCTACCATAGACTGTAAATAGTAATGGATGAAGCCTGAGTGACGTCAGCCATCTGTTACAGCAGGGGGCTCCGGAAGCTCATCGTCATCCGCCACCATGCTGGAAATCTCAGCCTAACTTTCAGTCAACTTAACGACAGGCTGAAAGCCGAAGAGGCAGGTTTTAAGCCTCCTGATGAACTGTTAAATTGCGCCCACCTGTCAATCATGTCAGCTACACGCCTAACTATGGATTACGCATATCGTTTTCAAAATCAAAACAGAGCCATTTAAAAAAAATTCCCCCCTGTACAGTGTGTGCCAGTGATGACAGTAACTAATCAGACCTGTTTAGTTTGTTGTACCAGGCTGTAAACATGTTTGTTTATGCTGTAAAAACAGCTTTTTTCCTGTTATGTGTATGTGACTTCAGGTATTCCTGGAGCCAGCCTCCACATTTTCTGTTGTTTAAACAGGTCATATGTTGAAACACAGCAGCCAATGACTTGTGATTTGTGTGATGCCAACGCCAACAGGAGGATGCCTGAATCATCCACATAGTATCTGTTGAATTTTACTATTTAAATGTGTTACCCTGACCATTTTGAGATGTATACAACACGTGTCTGTCATCAAACAGCAGATGGTCGTAATGATGGGAACCATTAAATGGCACATGTTTGTAATTAAATGGCCCAGTGAGCAGTATTAATGGTTGTGCACCATATTGGTAGGAAACATGTGAAGTGATAAGAAGGCAAAGAAGGGTCTTGGAAGAGCAGCCCTGTTCATTTGGCTGAGGATTCAAAGTGAACCCTTTTTTTTTCTTCTATTTTCCCGGTCTGGCTGTCAGGCCTGCAGTTTGTATTTATCAGATGTAATTGGTGACAGAAGCTTCATTTCTGAGTGGATAGCACCAGCAATTTAAGATGTGCTTTGTGATTGTGAAAAACAATGCAAGGGCCCCTAATGTGAGTCTATTTTCTAAATTATCAGCTTATTAATTTCAGCAGGCTGTCCATAATGATCACCATTATCTTCAGCTCTTTATCTTCTTCTCAATTGATTTATTTTGTCTTGTTCAGGCACAACAATACAAACCCTGGGCAATCTTGGCTCAATACTGGGTTGTCTTTCTTTTGATAAAGCTGTTGTTTGAGTTTTTACACTTCTATTGTTCTAAGAACGCAAACTGTGAACTTGAAAATAAGTGGATTTAAGAGGTGTTGGTATGTGTGATTTTTAACCTGTGTTTACCCCAGGTTCAGTCTCATGGTATGCTAAACCAAACAAACCCTGACTCCAGCTCTGTCACTTAACTCAACTAAACTAAATGACTTGCAGAGGTATACTCAATCTAGTTCTACTGTCTTTCTCAGGTGGTGTTACTCCAAGACACCGTAAGACGGGAGTGTGAGGAGAGGGAGGAGCTGACTGCTGTTTTGTCTCAAGCTCAAGAGGAGCTCCTTGGGCTGCGTTCCCTGGTGTCTCATCATGGATCCTCCAGGTGCACTCCAGACCCCACGGAGAGACAAACTACCCCAGGGAACAAGAATTTCCATCTCTATAGTCAAGCCAGGATCCCCCTCACTCGCTCATCAACCTCTCCAAACACACTCGGACCCTCCCTTGGCTTCAAAGGCAAAGACAGAGGCTGGTCCAGAGACGGAGAACAAACTTGGAAGAGTTCTTTGTCCTGTAATAGTGGTGAGCTGTTAGGTAGAGAAAAGGGGCGAGAGTTGACACTGCCCAGACTGATGGAGGGCGCTGTGAGCAATGTCCAACGGAAGGTCAATCTGATGATGGAGAAGAGGGAGAGGCTGTAATTAACCATAGACCATATGTGTTTAACACTTATTGCTCCTGCTCAGGCATAAAAAAAAATCTATAAAGTTTTGTTCGGAATTATTATTATGGTGTTACATTTTTCTAATAAAACCTTTATTTGTCTTATAGCATTTAAAACACATGTACTTAGAATATTATCCCTCTAATTGCTGCTCTCAAAGTCAGTCAGTCCTGCTCATACACCATGAAACTCCTAGGACACACACTCTGACAGACATGAACTTGTTTTCTCACAGCCCGACTCGCACAGTCTCAGTGGCACACACAGGATTTCACAGACAAACACATGAGCAGGGACACATGCAAGAACACACGCTGACATGGGGGGGCAGGACTGAAGGAGCTGCCGAGTGTGTCCCTTGCCACCCGCGGACAAAAACAAAAGGCAGGCAAAAGAAACTGTAAAGCAAGCATCCTCTGAAACACACACACACACATACACATAGAAACACAACAATTACCCAGCGCTCTCCCCTCAGGCATTGTGTGTTATTGACATCATTCACTCCGTGCAAGGTCTTTCCATCCCTTCCTCGCTCACTCTCTTCCTCTCCCTCTACGTTTGGTAGGAATTGGCATGACGGGAGAAACACGCAAAGTATTTGTGTGTGGATGTGGCATGGAACTCATTTCCCCGCTTACTGGCACACATGGAAAGCTTGGAGTGTGACTTCCCCCGTGTCTTTGTCCTCCAACCCATCTGCAAAACAATGCACGTTCAAGTTGTTCACACAGAAAGGTGGGACCATAACGATTATGTCCTGCAAACTAATCCTCAGTTGCCAAAACACATACATAATATGTTTTATCTGCTTAACATCTCTGTCCTCTGAATATTATGAAATATAAAGAATGAACATTACATCTCATTAAAAATTATTGTAGGAAAATAAGGAAAACATGAGGAAACATTTCCTCCATCCATCTATCCATCCATCCATTATCTTGGGTTTCTGCTTGTCCCATTCGGGGTCAGCTGAACAGCTAAACCCAGCGGTCATTGGGTGAGAGGTACACCCTGAACGAGTGAAACATTTCTTACAACTAAGAAACAAATCAACAAAATGGTTCATGACTCCTCTCAAAGTCGTCTGTCAGTCATGAAAGCAAAGGTCTAAAAACCCATTACCTCCCTTTTAAAAGAAACAACGCCTGTTCCCTTTAATTGGCAAGGTTGATTTTCTTTTGTGTTTCTCAGCTGGCGTTGTGGTGCCTTCCTGTGTGTGATTGTGTTACTGTGCATGGCCTTCGCGTGTGTTTTCTCATCGCATGAGACTTGAAGTTGCCTTGCTTTTGTGTGTGTCTCCAGTGAGTAATTGTTTCTGTCCTCACACCACCATCACTCAGTTTATGTAATCACATAATGTCTGTGAAGGACATTGATTGTATGGTCATCATCACATCGAAGGGGTTTGTCCATATGTGTGTGAGGGAGACACTACAACCTTGTGGCATTAGCATGTTACATTATTTTAGTACTAGTGTAATTTGATACCTGACTTTCTGTTCAACAAAATATTATTTTTTTTTACACTGACTTGAGAACTATCCTGCCAAAGCCATATAAGAATATACACCTGCGCTTTTCACCTGTGACCGTTCCTTTTATCCAGGTTGAACCCTCTCTCACCTTGACCAGCATGCCTTGTGTGTGAATGTATTGATAAACTATTCTAGGCAAGCTACTGAATGCATTAACACTCTGCCTGCTCCTCTTCTATCACCCAACAAACACTATTCCTGCCTTTGAAAGTCACAGAGTCTGCTCTAAGCACACACAGTTTGTCTCCTCCTTTCTTCCTTTAAAAACAAAACTTCCTTTAAAAACAAAACTGCTACCTTATCTGTCCCTCTCTCTTTCTGCCTCTTTCTATCTCTCTCTCTCTCACACACACACATCTGTCTCTGTGTCAATATCCTTTAGATCTCATTGGCCTTCTATTATTATTCAACCCCTCCGACCCTGCTGCTAAAAAGCAATTCCCCCTCAGCCTCTCTTCCTCAGCTATCTATGCATTCACTTTATTTTTGATCCAGTCAGCTCCCTCTTTTTTACGCCCTTGCTTTGGAGCCCTTGACCTGGTGTCTTCGCTGGATTGTGTGCGAGTAAGTGTGCTCGGTACGGAACCACTGGGCATGTGTTTGAGAGATCTGGACTGAATAGGAGCAACTCCTTTAAACACTTTATACATCTTAAAGCACTATTTTTTTTATTTTTTTTCTTAATCTGAATCAGCTGTTAGCTTACATTGCTGTATTTAAAGCTACCAGACTACATACAAAAATGATTTGACCTTTGCTGAACACAAGAGTTATTGGGCTACTTCTACCTCAATCAGTTAGTTAGTTTGTCTATTCTGCAACATGGTGTTTTGATTGTTTAGTTCAGCTCAACACAAAATTTGTCCAACACACAATCACAAAAAAAAACCCACCTAACTGATGTGTAAAGTCGCAGTAGATTTGCAGTTCAATGTTCTGCAAGTATAAGGTTGCATGCAGCCCTTTAAGTATGTTTGCTAAAGCAATCCACTTCAGCAAGTTCAAACGTTTCTATCTACTTCTCATTTAGACCCTAAAGTATGTCAAAAGAAAATTGACCGCAGCTTCCATATTTGAATTCCCCTTTAATATGTGCATAGCAGCACACAGCATAAAGCCCTTTAGGTTCATATGGTGAAGGTATTGATTGTGCCTAACCATTTATGTGATCACCCTTAACATATGGTCGTGCACACAAACATTTAGATTTACACACACGTGCAGTCTGCGCAAACACATTTTCGGTGTGATCTCAGTAATTATCATAGCAGGGCAGGCATGCACATGTGTCCCGGGGGAATCTGTGCAAGTTGCTCATAAACACACACATACTTCAGGGAGTGGTGTGTGTGTATAACTAAGCCCTTGTTCGTCACTGGGCGTCCCTGAACGCCTCTCTTCTGCGTCCCTGTGGTCGTTCCGGAATCCTGCCTTCCCGTGAGCCCTCCCACACCCTATAATTTGTGTCACCCGGGCAACTGGAGAAAGAATGCTCAGTATTCTTGTTGTTGTGGTAACTGCGTAAGTGCGAGGGCCAGAGGTGCTGGTTGTAGGTGTCAGTTAATGACAAGGACAACGGGACCTCAGTCTGGCTCCTCGTGTGGTGTATTTATTAAACTGAGGACGCAATTCAGAGTGTGTGGGTGTGTGAATGTGGATAAGTGTCTGTCCTTTACATATGTGAAAGCATGTTTCATGATTACAGCTGTTTCCATACAATAGCTTCAAAGGCATGCACACACTTATAAATCCATAAAACCTCAGAAAAGGAAACAACCCCTAATTTCCTCCCTATTTCAGGTATGCGCGTACACCAACACATGCAGCACACAGCACACTAAATGTGTCAATTTTGCGATATTTTCCTGTAGATCTGTTACTTTAAAACTGCCTTGCCTCCAGGTGGCTGCTTATTTGGCTTGTGGTCATTTCATTAAAACACCTAATTTGTGGGTAGCCTCATGACCATAATAATCAAATCAAATCGATGGGTCATAAAGAAGCCTGAGGGATGACATGGTGGTTATAAGATTAGATTACAGTTATTAAAATTGTCCTGCCAAATAGCTCAATACATGTTAATTTATAGACCTCTTGTATTTAAATTTTACAAGATATTAGTGAAACAGTTTTTCCACACCTCAAAGTATTCAAATTAACAAGTTTGAGACGTTAAGAAGGTTAAAAAAACAACAAAAAAAAAACATTCTTTAGTGGACTTATTCAATGTGTGAAGAAAGCTGTAAATTGGACCCTGCCTCGTTTGAAGCAGACTCAAGCTATGACAGAGTTTCAGATATACGCAGCAAATGCATAATGAGACTGTACAAACATTCAGTCAAAAAAAACATTTAGAGCAACACACACACACAAACAGTTGACAAACATTGCAGTCATCTGTTCTGCTGCATCAGGTTCTTTGCTGGGATTCTTTTCAAGGTTAGTGTGTGAGTCTTCAAACTTTCCATAACCCTGAAAACCCTGAAAAGTCCACAGCTTCAAATTGTGTTTTATGGATCTCTAGTTCACTCTGCTGTTTGGATTTAGTCACTGCAAGCTCTCAGGCTTTAGGCTACATTTCTGGGGGTGAACACAATGTTCCTTCAACTGTTTATGAAGGACTGCACAATCAGTGATTCAATCAAGGCCAGACTTAAAAACAATTACGTAAATAATTTGCCTGAAACAATTTTGCCTCTGGGTTCTAGTAACCTAGTTGAAACGGTTAAGAATCTAAAATGTGTTAGAAATATAAATTGTTTATGTAGGCTAGAGCCTTAATATTACAGTGTTTGTGTGAATGTTACCTTCGCATTTCTTCTCTAGATTTATGCAACTTTAACTTATTTTTCCTTAGGTTTCTTGTTCTTAAGTTGGCGGATGGATATGTTCCAGCTGTAGTGGTGAGAAGTCTGGACTTTCCCGTAAAATACGTCACAGAAACCGCACAGATATCGTTGACGGTGAGTCGTTTTTCCTGCTGCCTTCGGGTAACGTTGTTTTTAACAGTCTGTGGTTACGTCAGAGACGTAAAAGCGTAGACTGTAAATATCGTAATAGACATGAATGTTACTGATATATACGAAACAATACACGTTATGTAGAGCTTCTGTCAGTGGTCAAAGTGAGCCATATGATGAAAGTTTGATTAGTGATAACTATCATATAGGCCTCTGCCAAGGATTTTCTGGTGTTTCTTTTCAAATACAGGATAAAATGGCAGTGATATATAATCTTGAAGGGTTTGATCCGTAGGCTGTACATTTTAATTAATATTTTGTCGGTTTATTTGTCTATATTGTTCGTCTGTAGTGTTTTTTTGACTGCCAAAGGAAGCATGAGATTATATTTAACCTGCTGTAAAGAACCATGAACAATAAAATAAATGTAAAACTTAAGCTATAAACATACGCTATATATATATATATATATATATATATATATATATATAAATATATAAATGTATGCGGTCATTTGATCTGTTCCACTAGGCCTACTGTTTATTTGTTAATTATTTTTTT